AAAGTTTTTTTTTTATAGGATAAGGGTTACAAACGAGCACACAGTCCACCTGATGGTAAGTGGTTACTGTGGCCCATAGACATCTTCATTTATCCTCGAGAAGTTTTAAGTTCTTAGAAAATCAAAAACTGAACAAACTAGCAAGTTAGTTTTATTATATATATCTTTTCAAAATAGTGTCCAATTACATCAATACATCGCTGCATCCGATGGAACCACTGAGAAAAGCACTTTAACCACTCGTCCTTAGGGGTCTCTTCGACGGCATTTTGAAACGCAACCACTGCTTCCTCGGCGTCCATAAAAATTTTCCTCGATGATTTTCTTTTATTATCGGAAATAAATAAAAATCGCAAGGTCGGGGCTATAGGGCGAGTAACCCAGTAATTCCACGTCTGACGTCGCCACGTAGTTGATTGTCTGCTTGGCGGTGTGCGGCGAGGCGTTGTCGTGATGAAGGATTAGGATCCTCGCAGTAGGCTGCGAGGTCGTTTCCTGCAGTAACTGTTCGATCCTCTAAAACAATTGTTGCGTAATGACCTGTCCTTCCGAAGAACAAGGCCACCATCTTTTGTCCCACGCTTCGACCTCTCTTCACTTTAGTTTGCAACTCCTCGGAAGGAAACACCCAGATAGTAGACTGTCTCTTAGTTTCAGGATCATAACAATAAATCCAGGTTTCGTCACCCGTAAGTACTCGTATGTCGAATACAGCATTTGAGTCACCTCCGTTAAATCTTTGAACCTTTCCACGACACCAATCAACACGACGGATTTTTGGGCCTCTGTCAAATTATGAGGTATCCACCGGGCACAAAGCTTCCGGACCGCTAAATGTTCATGGAAGATTTTGTGCACTTGACTCATACCGATGCCTGAGCTTGTACGAATCTTCTGATAAGTTACTCTTTTGTCAGTCTCTATCATACGCCGCACAACACATGTTATCTTCAGTCGTCGCCGTAAAAGGCCGTCCCTCACGCAGATCATCGGTGAGATTAGTGCGACCACGTTCAACTCATTAAACCAGTTGTAAGCAGTGGCAAGAGATGGGTCTTTATCGTGAAAGGTCAATCGTAGTCTATCATAACTTTATAGTTGACTTAAATGACATCGAAAGTCATAAAAATCATTGTACGAAAATTTTTTCGCGTTAAATTCATACTGACGTGACACAGACAATTTTCAATTTGCCGCCAAATCGTAGACAAATGACAAATTAATAAAATACATACACAATAATATTGGCAGAGTTCCATTTTCAAAATTTGAACTTATTTTTTTATTATATCGTTTACAAGTGGCCAGATCTAAAAACTTCAATCGTAAATAAGTGTGACGGCTCCGTACGTTTATGCGTTGATTATAAAATGGCTCTAACTCGTTATTTATCAATCGATAAATATCTAATTGCAAGGATAGAATGTGTCTTATACGACACTATTCCGATGATATCCCGGACGTCAGTCTGAGCGAGATTAGAATGGTTCTCCAGCACCATAAGAACGGCAAGTCCCCGGGCGAGGATGAAATTACATGGAGCTTCTGAAAGCGGGTGGAAAAACTGTACTTAAAGTCCTTCAAACGCTCTTTAATTCCGTCCTTCATGGAGGCACTATTCCGGAGGCGTGGAGCAGAAGTGCGGTGATCTTGTTTTTCAAGAAAGGCGATAACGCTCTCTAACGAAGTGAATAATGCTATATCAAAATTAGTGCATTGGTTTAACGTTAATAATCTGCATTTGAACGGAAATAAAACTAATTGTGTTAAATTTACAACAACGAATGTTAAAAATCTGAATTCTAGTGTGTTTTTAAATGGGGAGTAATTGAGCCCTGTTGTATCCACTGTTTTTCTTTTCATCACTCTTGACGCAAAGCTCCAGTGGGGCCCCCATATATCCAAATTAGCAAGCAGACTAAGTTCTGCAGCCTATGCTGTAAAAAAGATTAGAGGTCTCACTAGTGTCGAGACAGCTAGATTAGTTTATTTTAGTTATTTTCATAGCATAATGTCTTATGGGATTTTGCTATGGGGAAATGCGGCTGATTCAGAAACTATTTTTGTTTTACAGAAGAGGGCCATTAGAGCTATTTACAATCTAAAACCGAGAGAGTCTCTTAGAGATAAATTTAAAGAAATTAATATATTAACTTTGGCCTCTCAGTATATTTACGAAAATTTAATGTATGTTCACAAAAACAAAGATAGTTTTAGTAAAAGAAGTGATATACATTCTGTAAACACTAGGAACAAACACAAGCTAGTGATACCAGTTTCTCGACTCCACAGAGGCAGTAATTCATTCTTGGGGCAATGTATACGCTATTACAACAAGGTCCCGGAAAGTGTACAGGTTATTATATAAACTATTACCAAGTTTAAATGTTTTATTAAGCTGAAACTGTATAAAAAGGGTTATTATAGTATAAATGAATACATGGTTGATAATAACCCCTGGGAATGAGGTGGTCGCTTCCAAGCAGTTTCTAAAATAAACTTTGTAAATAGTTCGTAATCATTTATATTGTAAAATTTATTTAAAAAAAAGTCCCGCTGGGTTTCTTGCTGGTTCTTCCCAGGACAGAGGTTTTTTTTCGAACCAGTGGTAAAGTAAAAAATGACTTTCAATAAGAATTACGCATGTAATGTATATTGAATAAAAAATATTCTATTCTATTCTATTCTATTCTTGAAAAACTACAGACCGATTTACCTTCTGAGCTGCGTCTGCGTGCTGTTTTCGAGAGTCATTACGAATCGTCTAGCATGCAGACTCGACGACTTCCAGCCTCCCGAACAAGCCGGTTTCCGAAAAGGCTTTAGCACTATAGACCACATACATACCCTTCGGCAAATTGAACAGAAGACTGAAGAGTACAATCTGCCACTTTGTCTTGCGTATGTGGACTATGAGAAAGCCTTTGATTCCGTCGAAATTTGGGCGGTGCTGCAGTCCCTCCAGCGGTACCAAGTGGACTGTCGGTATATCGAAGTGCTGAAGTGTTTGTACAGTAGGGCTACAGTGGCTATCCGAGTACAGAACCAGGGTACGAAACCTATTAAGAGGTGTAAGACAGGGTAACGTCATATCCCCGAAACTCTTCACCGCTGCATTGGAAGACGTTTTCAAGCTACTGGACTGGAAAGTATACGGTGTTAACGTCAATGGCGAGTACATCACTCACCTTCGATTTGCCGACGGTATAGTCCTTATGGCAGAATCGCTGAAGGAGCTAAGCACTATGCTCAATGACCTCAATAGTGTCTCCCAAGGGATAGGTCTTAAGGTGAACATGGACAAAACAAAAATCATGTTTAACGTTCATGTCACACCTATGTCGGTAGTTGTTGCGAGCACTAAGCACGAAGTTGTTGATGAGTATGTTTACCTGGGACAAATAGTCCGACTAAGTAAGTCCAACTTCGACCAAGAGGTCAATCGACGGATCGGCTGGGCAGTGTTCGAGTGATTACGACACATCTTCTCGTTGGACATACCTCTAAACTAGATTGTACAACCAGTGCGTGTTGCCAGTGATGAACTTTGGATCTGAGACGTGGTCCATCACTGCTAGCCGTATGAGGAAGCTCAAAGTCGCTCAGCGAGTAATGTAGAGGGCTATGCTCGGCGTTTCTCTGCGTGATAGACTTAAAAACTAGGATATCCGCAGGAGAACCAGAGTAACCGACATAGCCTAAAGAATTAGTATGCTGAAGTGGCAATGGGCCGGCCATATAGCTCGAAGAACCGACAACCGATGGGGAAGAAAGGTTCTCGAGTGGCAGCCTCGTACCGGCAGGCGAAGTGTAGGGCGTCCCCCCGCTAGATGGAGTGACGACCTGGTAAGACATGCAGGAATTCGATGGATGCAGGTGGCTCGGGACCGGGCTTTGTGGCATTCCTTGGGGGAGGCCTATGTTCAGCAGTGGACTTGTGATGGGCTGTAATGATGATGACGATGATGAAAGATGGAAGATTTATTTACAATTTAAGTGGTAAATATTTTAGTAAAACTGATCTCTCTACAATCAAATATACGGTAATTACTACTCATCGTGATCTTTTAGATTTGTTTACGGATTAGTTTCGAATCCCGGATTATTTTCCAATAGATAATGACTTATCTTTTTAAAGATATTGTAAACGAGTCCTAAAATAGCGTTGTTAAAGGTAATAGACGTCAAATCTGCATTAGGTCTGCATTTCTATTGATATATCCGGAGCATAGTACATCCGGCGAAAGTCCAGTAAAACTGCTACAAGGTAGATTGTTGCGTACGATACTAGATGGAACAGAGCGCGAGTAATTCTGCGGGAAGGATTCCGTTTTGGAATTCCGATTCGAGATTCCGAACGCAGCAAGTTCATATAAAATCTATAACCCGTCACACACGTACGGTTGTTTTCTGTCCGAAAATTTGCGGGCAATACGGGATTCCGTATGTGTGTAGCCGACCTGTATCTGTATGTAGGCGACAATTTATTGGGGAGGCCTATGTTCAGCAGTGGACTTTTATAGGCTGTAATAGATGGATGGAGTATTAGTAAGTCAAACATTTTTATAATCTATGGTTCAAAGTTATGGAAGGTACTTTTACTTCATTAACCGATGAATTTGAATATATTTTTATAATTTAAGAGTGAAAAACCAGCTAAAAGTCCATCTGATGGTAAGTGGACACCTGCAACCAATTTCATACAAAGAACTTTACAGATGTTTAATTTTGGATCCATGGCGTGCAGGTGCACTTGGCGACAGTATTGTAAATAGGTAAATGATTAGTATATAATTTATCATATTACATATAATATACCTAATAAGGCAAATGATTGGTCTAATAATAATGAGCTAATCAGATGGACTTTTAGGCTTTACCTAAAGAATATCAAAAATTAAAAGATCAGACTAAGAAGGAATATCCATTAAATGAGGCAAAATTATTTAAGGTAGAAAGGTAGAAGTGGACGGAAATAAATAAGAAAAAACTTAAATCACCTGGACACGTGCGATCATATCGAGGAAGTCGTCATCGGGCTTAGTGCTTGTGGTCTGCTTTGGACGAAGTCCCGGCAGAGAGGCACCTTTATTATCTTTATTTGGCTTCTTTACAGCGGGAGGAAGCTCCGCGCGTTGCGAGTCTATGCGTTCCGACTGTAGGTCCGTTATCATGTTCAGCATGTCCTCGTTGTTGCTGCTAAAGAATTTAAAAAAGTTATATTAATAATGAAATAATTCCTTCATCGCCGTCATTGTGATAGATTCCATTATGCCGTATGGTAGCGGAATAGGAGAGAAAATTATAAAATATAAGTGAAAAGCTTTTTATTTTGATTTAAAATTGAAGTTTTGAGAAGTCTTTATGAAAAACCTACTATGAAGTTTACACCACGGCAACTAATTACTAAATAATAAACACATCAACACGGTATAGGGATAGGTATTTTTAATAACGTTGATCATGTAAAAAGGTACTGGCCACTTTAAAATGTTTTTAATATAAAATTGTTCGTCAAGTATTCCACATTTAAATAAAAGTAAAACTAAAATGTGTTGGCGGAAAAAACTGAGGCCGCGAATTTTTCATTGAATAATTGTTTTTTTTTTGTAGAATACCGCTGCGTCTACGGTATCATTCTATGGGGAGTTGGCGAGAGAAATCCATCCGAAGTGGTCTGCACCACTTCGGGTTCCAGTTCTAAGAAGGTGCTTTTACTGATTATTAACTTTCAATTTATAGCCTTACTTTATTTTTTAATTTAAAAATTAAACTTTAATGACTTACAGTTTATACAGTTTTCTTTGGCTTAAAAATCTGAAATCTTACTTAGTTTATATAAAAAAAAATATTGTAGATTATTAAACAAAGTTTTCTTGGATTTAAAGGGTGGGCCATCGGCTAGTTTCTTTTTAAAAATGCAATAAAATAGACACTGCTTAATATTATTCAAAGTATGTTCTTTATTGAAAAGAGTAAATCTTCCAATTAGTTATGGAATATAATTTAATTTAAATGGCTACCTCGGCTCGCTTGACAGTAGCGCTACCTCTCAACGTAATTTTGCAGTACATTTTTGATGTTTTGAGGCTCTACTTCACGAATAGCGCGATCAATATTTTGCTTAAGTGCCAGAATTATTTGTGGATGGTACGAATAACATTTATCTTCAACAGCACCCCACAGGAAAAGTCCTACGGCATCAAATCGCAGCTCCGGGGAGGCCGAGTTACATCACGAAAACGGGTGATTCGACGATTATTGAACTTTGTGCGCAAAAGATCGATTGTTGGATGGCTTGTCCTGCTGAAACCAGAGCTCGCCCAAGTCCAATTCGTCAATTTCTTGGCACAAAAATCTGTTATCATGCCTCTGTAGCGCTGTCCGTAACGTTGTTGCCATCTTCATCTTCGAAGGAAAGTGGGCCAATAATGTCGCCACTTCAAAAACCACACCAAATAGTTACACGATGAGGACGGTTTGGTTTCTCTAAGACTACGTGTGGGTTTTCCGAGCCCCAGATACGACAGTTTTGCTTGTTCACATAGCCGCCGAGATGAAAATGTGCCTCATACAAAAAGATGATTTTTTGAGCAAAATCGATGTCAATTTCGAGCTGCTCTAAAGCCCAAACAGAGAAACAATAACGAAGCGGGTAGTCATTTTGCTTTAATTCCTGAGTCAGATGGACCTAGTAAGGGAACAATCCGAGGTCTTTATGTGGAATTCATCTAGGCTAGAGTGGCTAATGTTCAGTTTCTGAGATCTGTGGCGAGTTGAAGTTGCCGGGTTTTGGCGCTCACTTTCGGCACCATTCTCAATATTCTCAAGCAGCAATATTATCGGCTGAGCGCACAGGACGAACAAGAGGATAAGTTGTGTTAGCAACTAAAATGCCAATCTCACGAACTTTATTCACAAAATTGCGTACTACAGGCCCGGTTGGTGCATTATTTCGACCGATACTTCTTTACAATATTCGCTCTGTTTCGTCGACACAGTACTCAATTTGGAAATAATTTTTCAATATTTCCCAACGTTATTCAAGCGTAAATCGATTCATTTTATACCGCAGAGATTGATACTGTGTTTCTGTCAATTTGTTGAACGCGAATGAACTGTCAGTAATAAAGTAACAAGTAGTTTAATTGAAACCAGCACACGGCCCACCCCAAAATATACACGTGTCATAAGCAAATATTGATATACTTTTTGGAATTCACGAGTTGTTAAAATATCCCTATACCGTAGTTTTTCAGTTTCAGTTTTTTTTTTCAGTTTTTAGTATTTCAGTACAGAAACTCCCGCAGACATTCTTTAATCACATTTTTATCGTCGTAAATAACTTCTGTATTTTAACTACTAAAACTAAACAATGCATATCTTTTAAACTGCATAAATTGGTAACCTTTAAAATTGAACGAAAATGCTCGTTCCTTGAGTATGCATTATATATATATTGAGTTCATTTAAAGCAGGTTTCCCCGGTACATCATAATACATGAAATATTTTACAGTATAAAATACATAACAGTTTTGAATTGCATTAAGTAAATATCCAATTCTCATCATTCATTACAAAAAAAAGAACAAATTCAAATTATAACTGTGTGTGTGTTTTAAAAATCAGATGACCTAATATCAGTTAGAATTTATAATAATGCAAGTAAACATTGATTAAAAGGCACAGTATAACTTACCAGCAAGGGGGACTGTTTGCGCGTTTGACTAATATCATAAAGAATATTAAAATAAATTATTATTATGGTTGGTATTTAAATAGTTTTCTCATCTGGCTGGGCTGCACAAATATATAAATGGAAATGATAAATATACCTAAATATATATATATATATATATATATATATATATATATATATATATATTAAATAAATACATAAAGAATACGTAAATAACTAAAAAGCAAACCAGATGGAAGGCCTCGGCAGGGGTGACCAAACGGCCGAGGGTTAGAGGGAAAGGGAGAGAAACCGGCGGTATCGAAGAGCACCGCCTTCTGCATTCGAACCCGGAGCGGTCAGTCACGGAGTCCCAGTCACCTCAGTTGAACAGAGAGGCTGACTGGGATTAGCCCTTTCGCAGAAACGACTACAGGTATAATTTTGGCAGGCCACCCCACATGTCGGTCAACTCGTGAGCCAGGTCAAGATATTAAAATAAATTATTATTATTTACATATTGTGTTCAAAAGTAACTTGTATAACTACTATTGGTTATTATCATCATCCATTTGCTAGTGTAAAATCACGGTATTTAATTTTCATGTACATAATTTACAAAAATTTCCACACAAAACAAAGGGCAATCATTATGTTTAAATATCTCCACAAGTTTTCCGATAACGTGTCAAATGAATTTTCATGTTTTCACAACTTGTACTATATTATTATGTTATCGCGCTAAATAAATTATTATTATTATTAATGCCGAGACTTTAACTAACTTTAAAAGTATAAATCTCGACAAACACAAAACTATAATACACACTTGTCGCTTCTCCAAAATTTAAATGATTTCATTTCGATGTAGAATCGTACACAGACGACAGGTAATTACACAACTCAAACACAGTGGAAGCGGGCGACCGTAGCAGATGACTGCGAGGGCAAATCTGAACCGCATAGGCGCGAAGTATTTGAACTCGCTCTTAGGGCGCTTGTGTACTAAAGTTACCGTATTCTACTGGCCGATATTTCATGCCCCGCCCATCGGTAGTAGAAAAGGATATATATACGCTTGTTTCGTCATGCGAAAGACTCGGTGTCAAGTTTTTGGACTAAATCGAATTTAAATAATTTAGACTTGATAAACATAGAAACGACTTCAAAAAAACTAAAATGATTAAAATAATTCCCACACTGGATGTGGTAATTTGTCAATTAATTACAGCCTATAATTTAAAAAAAAACACCCCTAATAATATAAGACATAGATAGCCTCATGGGGCGTTTTTTATCATAGTTGCCACGCTTGGTAGGAGGCTGGTGGGCAACCGCAGTTTATAACAACTCAAAACAATATAAACTGTGTGTATAAACTGTCCATCTCCAGATTCAGTTTCCCTCTATCGCCTCTTACCATACCTGCGGGCCGATATGGGGTAGGAGATATTCTTAGACCGCCACTACACTACATGGTTATTTACACACAATTATCTGGTAATAAACTAGAACATCGTCGTAAGGGTTTATTCCTTAATTTTTTTATGTGGACCCATTTAAATTAAGTTATATAAAATTACGGACTGTAATTTTAACGTGTAGTGCACATTCAATGTAACGTACTTGGTTGGTACCAATGAAACAATGTCATTATTCTGTGTGACGGGATATTTAGAAAATTTGTGCAAGATATTCACAATAAGGAAGTAATTCAAGGTTATAGAATGTGTTATACGTGTTTACGTTATAAGTGTTTTCTTCAAAAATTATAAGAAAATATTCTGTATGATATGGTGGTCAACTGTAGTCTGTTAGCTGACTACTTGTTACTTAAACGTAATGACAGTAAAAAGCAAACTAGCACACGATCCACCTGATGGTAAGTGGTTGCTGACATCTATCCTCGATTACAAATCAAAATGCAGATGAGTTGTCACCCGTGAAGATTAAAATGGAATTCCTAGTTTCCAGTTAAACGGGTCTCCGGTTCTCTACACTGACCATCCGAAACACAGCAGCGTTAAGCTGCTATTTTACGCTGGTATTCTGTGAGAGCGTGGTTGCTCCCCGGTCGAGTCGACACATTCGTGCTACAACTGTACCAGTAATATAGCTTCAGCATGGCTCTACCACGTGCATACCTTCACAGCAATTAAAATAAATATAATTCTAAGATATATTGTTATCCTCATTTCATTACCTCCTCAATAGGGAAAGGTAACCCATCAGATAATCAGCAGTAGGAGTTTTATAACCTTATACTGTCGTGTCCCCTCAAAACAGTTTACTTATTTATTATTGGACTATTGAACAGTATTTAGATAGCATTGTGATGACTTCAGTATACAAATTCTATTTTTATTTATTAAATTACGACTCAAGTAAAAATTCGCTACAACTACACAAAATAATTCTCATATTTAACTCGTGTGGCAATTTTTAAACAGTTTACATTTAGTACTTTACACACTTGTCGGTATATTTGAAATTCAAAAATAGTCTGTACTAAAAGAGTAGATAGTATTTATACGCGAAAGCGATTGATGGAGCTGGTGTAATAATCAGGAACTTACGAGGAAACTAAGACATGCTGAGAGTTCAAATTTTCAGTGTCATTGTAGTATTTTTAATTCGGAAACAATTATATGACATCTTTTTGAAGTAACATTTTATACTTATAATATGTATGGTTTTCTGTGTAACATCAAATATTTTTTTACGTGGCAGAGCCATGCCGAAGCTATATTACTGGTATAGTTGTAGCACGAATGTGTCGGTTCGTCCGGGGTAGGACCACGCTCTCATAGAATAGCGGCGCAAAATAGCTTAATGCTGCTGTGTTTCAAATGGTGAGTTTAGAGAACCGGAGACCCTTTTTACTGGAAACTAGGCATTCCATCTTCGTTCTCACGGTCCACATCTGTATTTTGATTTGTAATCGAGGATAAATGTAGATGTCTATGCGCTACAGCATCCACTTACCATTAGGTGGTCTGTGTGCTCGTTTTTTACCCGTAGTCTATAAAAAAAACTAGATAATATGAAAAATAAAAAATACAACATTTTTTTTGACTGTGATATGAACTAAAATGTAAATTATTTAGCATTTCTTAACGCTGCTGTAAATCTAAAGAGTTAGGTTAAAGTGGACGGAGATTATTAATCTAAGAAATCGTCTATTATACGGGATTTGTGAGTCTGCACTGTGCATAGTAATTGTATAATATCTAATTATGATTGTATCTATCATTTATATGTGTCAGTGGTCATAGTGGATTACTCCAAACAAAGAAGACAGGACGGCTTTATCCATCTGTTCTTATTTTCCTTTACCTATGTTTTTACCTTTCTTTACCCATGTGGTAGAAGAGGATGATACCAACTTCGACTAACTTTTAGATAGAAAAGTAAGACTACCACTTAGAAATTTATATGTATGATTTCCCAGTTTGATATCACTTTGAGCAACATAGCTATGGGAAAGTAATTAAAAAATTATATTTGGCACAAGTTGTAAATATATTAAATGTGAGTTTAGGGAAAAAAGTAAGTTTACTGCCGTGTAGTTGTGGCGTAAGAGAATCGGAATTTCTATACGTGGTAGAGCCATGCTACAGGTTTATCATGGTTGCAGCACAAACAGGTCGGCCCGACCGGAATTCCGGATTCGAATATTTTCACAAAATACCAGCGTAAATATCAGCTTATTGCGCTACTGTATTTCGAATGGTGTATATAGAGAACCGGAGAAACTTTTAACTAATAACCAAGCATCATCATATCTAAGTCTTTAGGGGGTGACAAATCATTTACATTGATTCTTAATGGATAATAAATATCTATAGACTACAGCATCCACTTATCATTACGTGGACAGCGTACTCGTTTGTGACCCTTATTCTATAAAAAAAATCCACTACCTCTTATCATCCCCAGGGTGTCGTATGAGGCGACAGGAGGAAACTTAAACAGGAAGGAGGACAGGTAGATGATGGGTAGCAGCATCTTCGTGATAATAACTCAATAATAATAATAAAAAATATTACGTGATAGCTAACTATGAGAAATATCCCCTATGAGGTAATCTATGTGGTAGGCCTATGTTCAACAGTCGACTTTAGAAAAGCTGTAATGATGATGATGACGGCAATGGGCTGGTCACATCTGTCGCAGAAGCGATAACCGTTAGAGTAGGCGTGTCAATAAGTGGAGGCCGCGCTTAGGTAAACAAAATGTGGTACGCCCCTTAGGTAAATGGAGCTGCTATCTGGGCAAGGCGGCTGGCAGCCATAGTGGACTGCCGCAGGCCGATGATGATGATAAAATAAGTTAACGTTTATCTAAACTAATATAACGTTGTAAAATTAAGTCTGAATGGTTTCTTAAAATAACGTCATACACACACACACACACACGCACACACACACACACACACACACACACACACACACACACACACACACACACACACACACACACATATATATATATATATATATATGTCGCAGTAAGATGTAATACAGTTATATCCCTAGGAATATAACTATGACACGAACACGATCTAGTAATATAACTATCTTACTAGACTTATTAAAGGAAATAATGGAATGGTTACACACACACATTATATATATATATATATAGCTGAAACGCCAACATCGTTTTTCCTACGACGTATTATTTCAGGCGATAATCTCGAGTGGCGACGGATACGATGCGATAGCGATAGTGATATGATCTGTCATGCGCACCGACCCTTTGACGTGATGTATCAGCGCCGGGATCAATGTAATATGTTTTTATTTTATATAGGCGATGTCCATGACAAAACTCAGTTGTGTAACTCGATAGAAGGTGGCTAAGCGTTTGCTATTAACACTTCAGCGCTGTGAGTTCAAATTACGCACACGAAATATGTTTGTATGGCCCATGAATATCTGTTCCCGCTTGTTCTGTTTATTCTTATACAGGTAAATCCATAATACAGAATGAAACCCTCAGTGAGGGGATGTTTTATAATATAAAAAAAGAATAGTAATTATATCATGATAGTTCGTAATAAGCACACGTGATCAATGTATATAAAGATATTTAAGTAAATATTCAATTTTTATTTTAACTTTTTTGCCATGGCCCGAATAACTTTCGAGATAATAGTAAAAACTATGTTGATGGTTTCTATAGAGAGAAAAAAAAACATCTGTTTTTGTTATCTACTTTTATCAAAAACTCTTGCAGCGTCAGTAAGCTGTGATATATATATATCTCTTTGTATCTTTTTTATAAAACTGAAGTGACAAACACAGTCCACCTGATGGTAAGTGGCCACTGCGGTTCATGGACAGTTGCAACCAACTTTAAACAAAGAAGGCCACATATGCGTGGTCACCGCTGAGAACAAAGATACAATGTGCCTCTCAGGTCTCAGCCTGTAATTACCCTTCAGGCCGGAACAAAACAGTGAAGGCAGTGTTAATAGATCACCTAGATTTTTATGGAGTGGAACCATTAAAGAAATATTTATTTTTATATGGTTACAGATAAAAAATATAATATTATGCACGGTGCATCTACACTTACCCGATGTTTTTATCACTGCTGCTAGCGGAACGTTGTAGCTTTCCGCTCTTAGACCTCGGACGATTTTCCTTATTAGAATTTAGAGTCGCACGTTGTTCATCCATACGCCCTGATTGACAACGGCTCAGCAATTCGAAGAACGACTCAGTGGGATTGTCCTCTGATTCAGCCCTTACCATCTTTGGATGCTCAACAGCCTCCTTCTCCTCCTCCTTTCTTTTACCATCAGGTGTTATCTGCCAGAAAAAAAAATGTGCCAGTTTACTAACATCCCCTTGTTGAGTAAGCCTCATTTTATTTTAGGGCGGTTTTGTATTTTGAAAAAGCCCGAAAATCACTATAAAATTTGCAGACCGCAGATTTATTTCAAACATGTTTAATTTCTCAAGCCGATATTCAGAGACAATCTATTTGTAGAGTATAGTATGGACTAGACTTAAATTTTAACATTGTGGAGGTCGAAATCGTTTCTGAATATTGGACTTAGCGTGTAGTGGCGGTGTAAGAATAGAAATAGGAGATAGACAAGAACGTGCTCCTGATAACAATACAAAATTATAGCAAAACTGCGATAGCCAACCCGCCGTCCGAGCATGGCTACTATGTCAATAACCCCCTCAACAATCTATGGGAGAGGTCAAAATTTAAGTCTAGATTATGTTACACAAATGTTGGGACTGATGTTTAAAAACCCCGGCTGTAGATTTTGTCCTTGTGTTTAGCGCCGAGTACGTTTAGAAACAGAAACTTTTTCATTCAATATAGATTATAAATAGTACTTATTGAAAGTCACTCTTTTGTTTAATTACCACTGGTTCGAAAAAAATATCTATCCTGGGAAGAACCAGCAAGAAACCAAGCGAGACTTTTTAAAAAAAATAACAGCTTACAATCATGTAATCACAATTAACCACACAAAACAAATTAGAAATAGCTTGGTACCGATCACCTCATTCCCAGGGGTTATTATCATCCATAAATTCCTAAATATTATAATAACCCTTTTTATACAAACTTTGTTTAATAAAGTTTTTGAACTTTGAGCAGATGAAATTCTGTATATTTTTTGGGATTTAGTTGTAAAAGGGTATTGCCCCAAGAATGAATTACTGACTCGGTGGAGTCGAGTAACTGGTACTACTAGCTTGTGCCTGTTCTTAGTATTTACAGAATGAATATCACTTTTTTTGTATAGGTACCTTTATTTTTATGTACGTACATTACATTTTCATAAATGTATTGAGAGGCCAAAGTTAATATATTAATTTCCTTATAGTTTTGTCGGAGCGACTTTTAGGTTTTAAATCATAGATTGCTCTTATAACCCTCTTCTGTAAAACAAATATAATTGCAGTGTCAGTCGCGTGTCTCCATAGTAAAATACCAACGACATTATGCTATGGAATATAGCATAATGTCGTAAAGTATGATATATGAAGAGAAGCTTCGTGAAGTGTCTAGTGTTATTCCAAGAAAAATGGGGGCATCGACAAGATTCAGTTCCTCCCCATTTAAAATTACATTAGTATTTAATACTTATGCTTGAAATTGAATTGAAATAATAACTAATTCAGTGAACCAGTTAATGTTAAACATAGATCGCTCGTAGAGCATGCAATGCCGCAGTATATTTTCAATACCGCAATATTGCGGTATCGGAATTTGCGATTATGCGAAATTAAAAAATCACTTAATGGCGGTTTAACTAAAACAATAACATGAGTAAAAAAATCTTTCTACTAACTACAATTAATCACATACAATCCAAATCTTAATTTTTACCTTGGAAATGTTTATGTAAAAAGCAAAGCATATCCACTGTTGTCATCATTTAGAGACCTTCTAATTTTCTGTCGACTTTCAAAAAAGAGACGGTCCTCAATTCGACTGTATGTTTTTTTTTTATGTGTGTTACCTCATAACTTTTTACTGGGTGAACCGATTTCGATGATTCTTTTTTATTTGAAAGCTGGTACTTCTCATGTGGTCCCAGTGGAAGTTAGTTTTTGAGTTATTCTTAATAAATTATATTGAAGTCGGCTGTACAAAATTTTAAATTTTAAATTATACTCGTATTACAAATTATGAATCCAGCAGCCGAAAATGCTCGAAATTCGCGAAATTGCGGTAACGATATAACGGTATTGCATGCTCTAATCGCTCGCGACATTTTGCGATGGCCGGTGGAAAAACACTAAAATCGTCTTTTACTTAATTGTGATGTATAAGGATTTTTGTTAAATGATCTTAGAGCTGTACTTTCAACGTCAACATTATGTTCAATATCGGGCATCGAGAGATAGAACTAGATACAGTAACACAGGGGCACGATTATCATGTTTTCATCATCACCATCATCATCATCATCATTACAGCCTTTCATAAGTCCACTGCTGAACATAGGCCTCCCCCAAGGAATGCACGGTTCTAAGCCACCTGCATCCATCGACTTCCTGCATGTCTTACAAGGTCGTCACTCCATCTAGAGTGGGGTCGCCCTACACTTCGCCTACCGGTACAAGGCTGCCACTCGAGAACCTTTATTCCCCATCGGTTGTCGGTTCTTCGAGCTATATTGCCGGCCCACTGCCACTTCAGCTTACAAATCCGTTGGGCTATGTCGGTTACTCTGAAGAAACCCCGCCTATAGCCCTCTCCATAGCTCGCTGAGCGACCTTGAGCTTCCTCATACGGCCAGCAGTGAAGGCCCTCGTCTCAGATCCGTAAGTCATCACTGGCAACACGCACTGGTTGTACAGTTTCTTTTTCATGTGTTATGTTCATGTTTTAATAATCCACAATCATCATTAATCAGTGACTATTATTAATTAACACAGACAAACAATTTAACTGATGCACATACATTTAACCTTAGTCTGAAGCTAGAAAACTCTAATAGACCTACCTAATAGACCACGAATATTGTGACACTAATGAACCCACCTGAATCAAAGACAACTGCTCCATGCTCTGGCGACGAACACGTAGAGCGTTAAAAGGAGTTCGTGCACCGTCTTCACTCGAAGCCATAGAAACAGGCGGAGACGTGGCCTCAGCAGGCGTATCCGCTTCGTTAGGCAAGCCCAGCACTTTGCACAAGTCACCGATGTTCATCTGAGCGGTAGCCATTCCCAACACGTCACCTAGCTGTTAACAAAATAAAACCTTTAGGAATTGGGCAGTTCTCACCACAATTATTGAAAGCTATATCATATAATTTGATTTTGCTACTTAGTATAGTGTCTTAAAGTTTGGGTGTTTCTATTTTAAGTTAAATTAGAATTTCAGTATTTAAAAAATAATATTTTAATAAGAAGTAAAAGCCGACTTCAAAGAAGTAAAAAGAATAGAAAAATCCGTAACCCTTACCCTTACAGCCTATTAAGACCCGCCACATACAAACGGAATTCCGTTTCGGAATTCCGATTTAAGATTCCGAAGTCATCAAATTCATATAAAATCTATGACCCATCACACACCTAGGAGTTTCCCGTACGAAATTTTGCGGCCAAATCTAGATGTGTATGCCCGACCCGTTCGGAATTCCGTATGTATGTGGCGGGCCTAAAGCCCACTGTTGAACATAGGCCTCAACCATAGATTGCCTCATATGGGATATTTGTCATAGCTCCCACGCTTGGCGAGCGGGTTAGCATCCGCAGTTTTTTTAATGTTATTTTGCTGCTATAAGAAAGATGCTGCTGCCCACCCATCTCCTGTCTCAGTTTCCCTCTGTCGCCTGTTACGAAAGCCACGGGAAGATTTGGGCTAGTGGATATTATTACACCGCTACCACACAGGGTATAATCGTCAGGCTTTATTTCTTCGATACACTATTACCTATACTAGCACCGACTTCAGAAGCTAATTATGTACAAGTTATTTTAGTCTTCAAAATTATACGAGACCATTCTCAATGTATAGCTTCTTTTTTTTTGTTTTATTTTAATAAACAATACCCCCACACTAGGATTTTCTCCTGTGGGGGCAGTTTACAAACACAAATTGCACAAGGACAAACATCCAGACCCGGAACAATTATTTGTAGGCCATACAAATACTTGTTCCGTGCGGGATTCGGACCTACGCCACCCAGCGCAGCAACTCATTGCTAAGCCACTTCACAAATTTGAAAGAAAATCATTAAAATCATTTTTTGTTGCTGGAAGGAATCTTTTAGTAGTAGAGGTAATTTTTTATTTACCACTGGTTCGGAAAATACCTCTGTCCTGGGAAGAACCAGCAAGAAACCCAGCGAACCCAGTAGCTTATATTCCGCAGTGGAATTTTGACGAGATGTAATGAAAAAAAATGAATGAATGAAGCTATTCCTTCATATAAGAATTATTTCTCAGGATGTTCGCAATATAATTAAGATTTTTAAAATTGTAGGCACGTCTGCTTTATTTTTATAGTTTTTCTAATTAAAAAAATGTTAAAGTTGCCCTGAAAAATAAAATATTGTCGTACCTAGTGCAACCGTGCGGTGACAGCTGCATCTAACTTTAACTAAGCCCGCAAAAACTACGAGTACAAACTCTGTGAATACTAGCGAAAACACAATGGAAAGGTGATATTATTTCATTTCGTCGCAAAAGTTTTCTACACATTCATTATGTGGTAGCCTGATGAACAAGTTTTGTATAATATCAATAAAAAACCGCGTAGTAGCGGTGCTACGACCTAATATCGTCCCGTGAGTGTCGTATGAGGCGATGGTGGGAAACAAACCAGGAGATGGGCAGCAGCATCTTTATAAACTACGGTTTCCAACGAGGGAGAAAACTGGCAGATGTCACCGAATAGTGAGAGGCGTACCTAATGAAATTAAGAGGAGGAGGTCCCTAATGAAATTAACGCCCCATCCCATCCGTGTCCCGAAAACTTCTGCTCGAATTACGAAATCGTTTTCAGTACCTAGTAGATTGCAGTACAATTGATGATATAAATGACAAGGTCATTGAAACCATCCTTGCGGTCGAGGCTGAGTTCTGCAAGACTCGTTGTAGAAGAACCCAAAAACTCTTCCATCACACTCTTAATCTTGTGACTGTTAGAAGTTTAAATGCAATTCCAATCTTCGATTATGACAGCACATAGGCACCAGAACAAACAGATCTCCAAATACCTGCAGCGAAACTTACATAACTTCCATACAGCTCGTATTGAATAAGTGATTGAACGAAACCAAGGCTCTGAAGTCTTTGCCAGAGATCTGTCTTCCGGAATGAGCCAACTGTCGAAGTCGACGATCAATCGGATGGTCGGTACACGATGCCTATCCGAATACAGCTCCAGGGTTCGAAACCAATTTGAGAAAGAATGTAAAAAACTAATGAAACTGCAGAGAGATGTAAGACAGGGTGATGTTAAATCCCCACAACTTTACACAAAATTATAAAAATTATATATATATATATATATATATTCATTCACTCGTCATCGCAAACAAATGTCGCACGCGCAGTCAAAACATCCGCTTAGATCAAAGCGCGGGCGCCGACTGGTCGTTCTAAATCGTAACGTTGCGATTAGACTGTCCTAAATTGTAGACAAATCAGAAAGTAGAGCGGTCGGGACCTCCAACTTTAACTAAATCAGATTCTATCGGTTCTAACTATGATTACATTTTCCAACTTCCTAATTAGATTTTCTAAAAATTGAATAATGTAATAAACGCTTAAGACAAATTGTCCGACTAAGTAAGGGTAAGATGATGAATAAACTAAAACTGAAGTCCAACCATCAAATATTTTAAGTTTCAGATTTACTGCCTGTGCCTGTGCTTTATGGTAGCAGCCAGAATGGGTCAGGAAAAATACCACGTTTGAACAGAATGCCAGCACAAAATAGCAGTATAATGCCGCAACGATTGCTGGGTAAACGAGGCATTGTCTTAGTTCTCAGGATTTACAACGCACTGCATTTTGAGTCACACACACACACACACACACACACACACACACACACACACACACACCGCACGCACGCACGCACGCACGCACGCACGCACGCACGCACGCACGCACGCACGCACGCACGCACGCACGCACGCACACACACACACACACACAGACACACACACACACACAACTTTTAAATAACGTAAAAAATAAAAAAATTGTACTTGTCAACCTATCTGCCATGACCTTGGTCCCTGGCTCGTATACCATCAATTTATTATATAATGTGTCTGACAAGATAACCACCCCTATTTTGCTACATAAACAATTATGTATGATGTATGTGTAAAATATGTATAAAAATCATACGGAAAAATCAATTTCAATGAGTTTAGCATTGTAGGCGCTTCATATTTGCAAGTTTATTTTTCCTCGTTAAAAACTAGGTCAAAGACATAAAGCCTATGTTTCTTTTCACAATTTCGGCATATAAATGATGTCGACGTGCATATTTATAAAACACACAGTACTTAAAAATCTAACCTACTTTAACTACATTATCTAGCTTTATAAATAGAAATCTAATTATAATATATCTCCACGATGCAGGAGAAATTCCTAGTGCAGGGGTAACGTTTAAAAAAAATTAAATCCTTTCCTAAGTATCTGTGAATGTAAACGGAAAATAATGAGCATTTTATCGACATCAGCTTTTCCTCGTTTTTCCCGAGCGGCATCTTTGAACTCTACGTATGACTTGCGAGATAGTCGTAGTATAATTTGAGAAGCAAATATCTAAGTTTTATCAGGTTTTAAAAGTTTGCTCATCTTAGTTAAAGTAGTATTTAAATGCTTAGATTTAATTGAAATGATATCTTCTTATATCCGTGATTAAATATTTTTCTATTCATATTATGTAAACTTATTGGTATTATTGTTATTTACAGCATATTAGCTTTAGCCCCTGAAATACAGGTATAATATCCTAGTTTAGGGGCTGTTGACCATTGTAAACATTTGTGCATATAATATGTTTATTAATTAAGATTATTATTATTATTAAAGTCCTTTGTTGAACATGCGATCCTGCCATAGATTGCTTGTTAGGGGAGATATTTGCCGCCGTAATCGCCACGCTTAACAGGTGGGTTTACAAGCACAGTCCTTTATAATTCAGTTTCCTCCTGTCGCTTCATACGACAATTATTACGGTTACTACTTATTGGTGTAGAACAGGGCTTTTAACTTACTGTACAGCCATAATACATTACATTGTGTAGTTTTCATTAAAATCAATTATTAATTTGTTATTTAATTGGTGTTAATATTAAATTAGTAATGGATTTTAATGAAAATATACTTAACTCAAGTTTATAAAGCTAGTCGAGATATGAAATAAATAATGTTCATTCTTTCTTTTGATAATAATTAAAAATTAAAAGATTTGTGGAACTGACTTGAGTATAAATTATTAAGAATAACTCAAAAACTATTGGTCAGACCTTGATCAAATTTATTTGGGACCACATGTGAAAGCTTTCAAATAAAAAAAGAATCATCGAGATTGATTCACCTAGAAAAAAGTTATGAGGTAAAACACATAAAAAACATACTTTGAGTGGTTTGTGGTTCTCATGATAAGTGAATTTTTGTACTTTTAATGAGAATAAATTTCTTAAACCACAAAAACATACTTTCGAATTGTGTACCTCCTCCTGTTTGAATTCAGTAGAATAATGATAAGGATTTACTAGCTCGTATATGGGTGATTCTACGAGAAGAGGTAATATGCACGGCAATCATTATTAAGAAGATTTTTAGAATGAAGTTTTTTAACGCACGGTACGACTATGGCGGATAGGATAGGATAGGATAGGCGACAAAAAGTGTAAGATTTTTCCGCCTCAACCCTTTATATATTGCGAGTGAGATGGAATAATATCCATTGCCCTCGCACTTTTTCTTATCTTGCCATGAAATAAATATTATTTTAAATGACGCTTAATTTCAATAGACGCTAGTAATTCATTCATTTGTATTTGTTAATCAATAAATAACTACGAAAGGAATTTCGTTCCAACAGAGTCTTCCACAACACTCACGCATGTTTTTTTTTACTCTATGTGTTGTAATTTTATTCAATAAATCTAAATTCATTAAATATTTTACTCCTGCTTTTTTGTGTATCTACCCTGGCAAATTCGATCCGCTAAAACAAACAGAAATATTAGGCGGCCATA